GTAAAACTCCATGCGTCAGACCTGGTGTGTCTGCCCCTGGGTACCTGCACAGCTTTGCCATCCCTCATGTTGCCAGGAGAGCTGCGCGTGCCCGACCAGCAAGAGTGGCAGTGCTGTAGGAGCTAAAGTGAAGGGAAAGGTGCTGGAAAATGCCCCCAACCACTGGCCCAGGAGGAGACCTGGACAGGAAGGTCAGGCCCAGTGTGAGCCCCATCCCCCAGGTCCCCGAAGGCAGGAAGACAAAGGGACAAGGGCCTCCTCTGGCTCTACTAATTGCTTGTTAAGCTTGACCCCCACGAGGCTGGCCCAGCCTGGCACCTGCCACAGCCCTCCAGGGCATATTAGTCAGGCCCCTCCTTCCCGCCGAGCCTCACCCTTCCCACCTTCCTTCTTACCTCTCTCCCACACCTTTGCTCAGAGGGCTGGACTGGACACAGTGTCTGAAATGCAAGTCCAAGGCTGTAGGCTGGAGCACAGTAGAGGTTAACCTTGGGTCCAAGCTCTCCTCCTTAGTAGCTGTGTGACCTTGAGCAAGTTACCTCGCCTCTAAGCCTCAGTCTCCCCATCTATTAAATAGGATGGCTACCTGGGAGAACTGCTGCCATGGTTAAACTAGACACAGATGTTGTTGAAATGGATGAGGTGAGAAGAGTTAGGAGATAGGAAGGGTGGAGTGAGAAATTGGGGCCATGCCTGATAGTAAAATACCAATGTTGCTGAGCACCAACTATGTACAAAGCATTGTGCCAGACCTGGCTTAAAAATCAGGAGACTGTCCCTGCCCTGAGGAACAGGCACATACAGCACCAGCGGTGACATGGCGTGGTTGGTGCACGGTGGGGGCAGACTCTGCCAGGGGGCATGGAGGAGGCTTCCCTGAGGAAGTGACATGAAATCCAGGGGAGCCAAGGGAAGGATGATCTGGGCAGATGCAGCACCCTGAGGTAAGATGACCATGGCTTGCTTGGGGAACAGAAGGAAAGGCTTTATACTCTCAGAGGCCCATGAAAGAGGAAAGATGGGAGGAGATTAGGACGGAGAGGTAGGCAGGGACTTTGGAAGCCAAGGTAAGGAGTTTGGAATTTACGTATAATGGAAAGCTATTGAAAGGATTCAAACAAGTAGAATTATTTCGTCCATTAGGATTAGGTTTGACTGTGAATATCTGAGACCTAGAGAATAGTGATTTAAATGAGATAGAAGTTTAATTTAAATGTTTTCTAAAAAAGAAAAGTCCAGAAGATATGAAGTGTCCACAGAGTTGTCAAGGACCTGACTGTTTTTAGATCACTGCTCTACTGTCCCTACCGTGTAGACATTGTCTTCATGATCAAAGTTGCCTGCTAGAGCTCCAGCCATCACATCCAAGTTCTAAGCTTCAGGAAGGAGGAAGTGAAAGATGAAGGACTCATCTTCTCTTTAAAAAGACTTTCCCATAGGCCTTACTATACTTTGGCTTACTTCTTAATGGGTAGAACTGGTCACACAGTCACATCTTTGCCACAAGGAAAATTAGGAAATATAGTCTTTAAGCTGGATATCAGTGTGCCCAGTTAAAAAATTGGGGGTTCTTTTTCTCCAATCTCCTGCTGGCTACTGTATGGAAAACAGATTGAAGAAAAGCAAGAGGGAGGCAAGGAGCCCTTGGGAAGGGACTAGGGCAGCCAGGGAAAGACAGTGGTGGCTTGGATTCGGGGATGTGCAAGAGGAGATGGGGATAAGTGGACTGATTGAAAACAGATTTGAGAGAAAAACTGACAAGGCACTGGACATTGGGAGGGAAGCAGCAAACCAAGAATGACTGCTCGTCTTTGAGCCTGAGCAGTTGAGCCAATGGTAGGACCAGACACTGAGCTGGGGAAGACAGGAGAGAAACAGCACAGGCGGACGGAGAGGTGTCACCAGCACAGGACTTCGCCCCCCCCCACCATACCCTGGGGATGAGCTGAAGCCGGGAGGACAGCTCCAGGCCCCAGTGTGTCCACTAGAGGATTCCCAGGACATCATGCAGGCCAGCTTTCCCCCAAAACATGCATGACATCCCCCTGGAGTAGGATTCCCAAGATTCTAGGTCATGCACAGAGGAGCACAGAGTGGCTTTATGGGGGCCCATGGTTTCTAAACCACACCTTTGAGTGGCGTGGCTGAGGCATAACGCGACTCTAGGGTGCTCAGATTGGAGTGTCTCTCTCCCCCAGCAGGAAGTCTTGCCCTGCTCACCCTTCAGGTCCTGACTCCCGTTGCACAGATCTGGCAGAAACCCTGAAGGTGGGGACCAAAGGAGGAAGTTTGGGAAACTTTGATCAGGTTTATCACATTCGTTCCATGGATGGGAAGCAGGCTGACTTCCCAGGTCACCCAGGCACACGGGGAGCAGCATCAGCAGGTAGGCCCTGACTCACAGGCCTGTTTTTAGCCCCAGGTGGAGGCACCACCTCTGCTCACCCACCCCTGCCTTCCTGAGTCACTGCCTGCCTAGGGCACCCAGGGCCCAGGCCCCAGGGCCAGCTTTCCCCCAGGGGAGGCTTAGATGCTGAAGAAACTCATCTCCAAGATGGGGCAGGGCCCAGGCTCTGCTGGTGGGCAGCCCTCCATGTCAGCTGTAGGCTTGGGGATCTGAGGGCTGGATCTCTGGGACACTGTCCCTAGGAGCTGGATCGGGGCTAGTGTTGTGGGCGTGGCCTGCTGGCCACTAGGCCAGTGGCGGCTTCCTTCCCAGGCCAGGCAGTGGGGAGGGGGCACCGCTGCCAGGACTTCCCCGCCCACTATCTGCAGTAGACAGCTTGTGGCACACAAATAGCTGCTTAGCTGGACAGCTTGATTCTGGAGACGTCCCCACAGAAGGCTTTGGCCCCACACACCTTTTTGCGGACTCTTTTGTCAGCCCTGCGTCTTCCAGGTGTTGGCCTTGTTTCCTTTGTCTCTCCCCCACCCCAAAGGACACCTGCACATTTCCAGCACCTCCTGCCCACTTCCTGAACCACGTGCCACGGGCTGAGGAATTTGTCTCTCTGGCTCAGTTTAAGGGCTGGGGAAAAGAGGGAGGTTGAAAGACCTTGAGAGTAGAGTAACTGTCTGGTAATAACTATTGTGCCCATAAAGAAAAGACCGCGATTCTGGAGGGCACGTGAGGTCAGGGAGATAGTGGGCCTGGTGCATCCCATTCCCAGCCCCAGCCGGGGCCTCCGTCTCACCCTGGGCTCCCACCCGGACAGGCTGAAACCGGAGGGAAGGAGGCTGGAGGAGGGGTCCCGGGAGTGCTGGCACTAACTGCCCAGCCCAAATGGGCCCACACCCGCCCAGCTCCTTGGATCCGCATCCCCCAGTGTTCTGTGTCTCATCTGGGGCCTGGTGTGTACAAGGGTTCAGGCCACACAGAGGGCGAGGGGGCCTGAACACCTTGACTCTTTCCTGCTTCTTTCTGGTAGCTTTATTCTTAGGAGCTTCTCCAGGAGTGAGACATGGGTCTTGGTGATACCCATGTCTTGGACAGTAACACTGACAGTGACCACTACGCTGGCTAGCTATCGCCACACCGGTGCCGTCTAACAAACCTCCTCTAACTCAGTCACTTAGCAGCAATCGTTTCTTTTCATGGGGCAGGGGTCAGCTGGGGTCAGAGGCCCAGGTGGGCTCGACTCTGCTCTGTGCATCCCTCATCCTCTTCCTGGGATGAAGCAGAGAGCCTGGGCGTGTTCATGGTGACGGTAGAGGCCCAAGAGGTCTTAGAGGAAAACGCAAGGCCTCTGAATGGCTGGGTGTGGAACCAGCACCCTGCTGCTCCCGCATCTTTCTGAGGACTGAGCGCCTACACTCCAGTCAAGGAGAGAGGAAATACATTCTGCCTCTAGCAGGGAAATACTGCAAACACACAGGGCAGAGGACGTGGACACAGGCCGGGGAGCTCTCAGGCCCACAAATGCAGTCTCCTGCCGCTCCCTAGTGAGGTGGTTGTGAAATTCTGAGGAAACAGTGTGCATGTGCAAGGTGCTGGTGGTGGCCCATGACTTCTCCAAGAGCCTCTGAGTCTCCCTGGTTTCAGTGTGACATTTATTTGATTGTAGTCTTCGAGGATGGTGTGTGCAAGGGGCCAGGCCACACAGAGGGCAAGGGGGCCTGAACACCCTGACTCCTTCCTGCTTCTGCTGCTTTTGGTATCCAAGATGAGGGGAAGGGGGACGATACATACTAATTACGGGGCACTTTCATGCAATTTCAGTGGCATCTCAGCCACCCGTGTGTGCCTTAAGCAGATTACACCCCACAGACAAAGGAGGAGGGGGAAGGAGGCAGGAAAAGGGTGATCTGTCTCATTATTCACCTCTTTACCCTTCCCCCGTTTAACCAGGCCTGGGCCTCCCCTGCTCCCCAGGAAAGGTGGGCCATAGGTCAAGGGCAAATAAGTAAATAAAATTTAATAAAATTAAGTTTTAACTTTGAGCCCTCCAAGGGGACTAGGCCCTTGAGATTTAATATGAGGGCTTTTCACCACATGCACTAACCAGAGAACCAGCCTCCTCCCTCCCCGACCCTTGAGGTGCCATTCCCCTGGGCCCAGTCCCTCAGGTAAGTGGAATTCTCAAATAACCAAAACACCCCTCTCCCTGACGTCGCCCAGTTCTAGGGACTTTGCTCCACCTGGGTCAACAGTATAGAAAATTACAACGTTAGCCAAGAACATTAACTTTTTTCCCCAAATGAACACTATGCCAAACCTGAGTTTTCAAAACAGACGAAAGCAGAGCCGCCTGGTTGAGCCAGAGGGTGGAGACAGAGGCCCTGCCAGCCGCCTCCTGCTTCAGAGCCCGTGCACCAGGAGACCCCGCAGTCCTCGTCCCCCTGGGGCCCTGGGAGGCCAGACTGCACTGCGTCCAGGGACACTGGGGGGTTGGGGTTCAGCTAGCGGGCCCCTGCTCCTGACCCAGGCCTGGAGCTGAGCCGTTGTCCCAGTGTCCTGTGCCCACCAAGGCCTCAAAGCCGCCGTCTGTCTCTCCTCACAGGCCGATGCCAAGATGGTGTGCGACGTGGTAAGTCGGATGGAAGACACGGAGCCCTTCTCCCCGGAGCTGCTGTCCGCCATGATGCGGCTCTGGGGCGACTCCGGGATCCAGGAGTGCTTCAACAGATCCCGGGAGTATCAGCTCAACGACTCTGCCAAATAGTGAGTGTTCCAGGCTGGAGGGAGGCCGTGAGCAGGGCAGTGATGCGGGCGTGGGAGGGGATGGGGGCCAGTGGGGCAGGGAGGCATCCTTGGCTGAGGTCGGAGCTTCTTTGAGATGTTCTGCCTCGGGTGTCAGGAAGGCAGGAGATGAGGCTTCTCCTCCTACCCCCAGGATGAGAAAGAGGCCAGGGAGGTGAAGGGCCCAAGAGACAGCTGACAACGGTGCTCCCAGCCAGCCAGGGGCCGTCACCCGCTTGCTCTGGAGAGGGCCTGGCCCTCTGGAAGAAAGGTTTGCAGTGTAGCAACTTTTTTTTTCCCTGGAGAACCCTTGACCCCATGAGTAAAATCAAGAGCCACGTAGACAGAAAATAACTTACATGGTGCCATTGTGTCGAAGGTTACCTGCCTTTGGCCCTTAGATCAGTCTCCAGACCCCTGGGAGTAGTTCACAGTGGTCGGCACATATCTTCTGCCTCAGAGACATTGGGATTGCGCCCTAGCTTTCAGGAAAAGCACTCATTGTTACAGTCTTGTGCCCCGGTTTTCAGAGGGAGCCTCTGGGCTTAAACCCTCTATCTTAGGATGCGTGTGTACTGATCTGTTCAGCCTCCTCACTGGTACTTCTCAGCCAGGGACACTTTGTCCCCAGCAGACACTGGCAATGTATGGAGACGTTTTTTGGTTGTCCTGACTAAGGTGGTGCTACTGGCAGGTAGAGTCCAGGGATGCTGCTGAACCTCCTACAGACACATCATACTGTCCTCTATTACAGAGAATTGTCTGACCCAAAATGTCAGTAGTGCCAAGAATAAGAAACGCTGATCTACACAGTGCCGATACAGGGGAGACTGGGGCCAAGAAAACAGCATTCGCTAATGGGCATGGGGAAATTGCCACTGGCCGTGATGACAGCCAACAAACCAGGGACTTGTCTTCCCATTTCTACACACCTAGACTGCCCACAGGGCAGATGCATAGGTCCTGTGAGTCCCAGGTGGTAGGGACCCTGTCTCCAGCCCCTGATGGGCCCGCAGGACACCTAGATGGACATCTGAACACCCAGAGGTTCAGATCCACACCCTTCTCTCCCCCTACCCCCAGCCATTCAGACCTGGAGAGAGTCTCCACTTCCTCTCCCCTCCCCTCCCCACTGCTGGGCCCAAGTCCAAGGCCTTCCCATCCCACCACTACTCTCAGGGCTCCTCAGGGCATCAAATCATGCCCACCACTTACATTTTTACCACTTAACTAATTATAGTATGAATCCATTGGGAAAAAAATTTTAGACCATACAGAAAAGTATAAAATTAAAAGTGAACTCCTCCTCCAGGCCTGTCCTTCTCCCACCGTTAGCTGTCTCCATTTGTTTGTCCCAGTGCTGTCCAGAAAAATCTGACCCTCCAACTCTGAGTAGAATTCAATGGCCTCCAGCTGTGAAAGCTGAGGACTTCACCTTCCTTGCTCCCTTCCTTCCTCCACTCTGCCCCACTCCCACCCCCAGTTTGGAGGGATTATTTTTAGTTCTTCTGGTGGTTACCTTTATAACTTTAAGTGAGAAACTTGAGTCAGGATCCGCCAACTCCCCCCCAGGTGAGCTAAGGGGACCCGCCTGCCTTCTCTCTGTCCCTCTGGGACGGGGCTCCTCGGAGGCAAGGGTGGACCCACAGGCAGGATAGGAAGGACCATAAGCACTTTCTGGTCCAGAGTTGCTTTGCTGTTGTTGTTTTAGCACCTAAATCTCATCTTCGGACAAAAGCTGGGGCCCAAAGTATGAAACAGTTAAAAGTAGATTTGTGGTGACGGGGAAGAGGGAAACTCATAGGGCCACCCTGTGACACCGTTCCAGGGGATGCCACTTACACCCTAGGCTGTGAATGGCTCCCCAAGGCCCAGGACCCTGCCAGCTTCCATCCCTGCCCAGTCCCAGGGGCCACCTGTCCTCATGTGACCAGTGAGACTCCAGGGCTCAGGGCACCCAGGGGGATGGCTATGCTGCTGGGGGTGCACCCAGGGCTAGTAAACATGGCCGGCTCTCCCCTCTTCCCCTGAATGATGGCTCTGAGACAGGTCCCGGAAACCCAGAAACCTGAGCACGTCCCAGCAGGGGCTGTAAAAGGTAGTTCCTTGGTTTGGTAGGATTGTTTTTTCCCGGACCCAGCTCCCCACTGAAGGTCAGTGCTGCTGGGTGAGGCGTCCTCTCCTCCCTGTCTCTCTCGAGCCCACCAGCTCAGGCCTCCCCGCCTGCACCCACTGAGGCAGCCCACGGCGAGGGTCCCCCAGGCTCAGGGCCCTGTGTCGCAGCAGCCCTGGACCTCTTCTCTTGGCACTGCTGCTCCGAGGCTCCCAGGCCTCAGCCTTCCTCAGACCCCTCTCTGCTTCCTGCCTGTCCCTTGTCTGGGGTCCTCAGATTTCTTCCTGTCCATGCAGAGTGCCCTGTGATTTTCTCCAGGCTTGTCGCCTTAAATTCCCCGTATTTCCGGACAATCTCAAAGGTATATTGCCAGCCTCACCTTCCCTCCAGAGTTCTGCCTACTCAGTGTCCATTTGGACATCTCAACGCATCTCAAATTAATACGTGCCAACCCAGCTCCTGGCTCCTGCCCTGCCCCCACACATGCTCCGCCTCCACCCTTCTTCCTCCCACCAAGTGCAGCCTCCTTCTGCCATGAGGAGGCGGCTTAACTGGCTCTTCCTCCCACATTCCCTTCCCATCCCCTGTGTGGCCACCACCACCGCTGTCGTGTGACTGACCTCCCCTCTCACCGGATGGTTGGGTGATTGCGCCAACCTCTCGCAGGTCTCCTGGCTCCCCCTCCACCTTTGTGCAGTCTCGCCTGCCTGCTCCTGCCCCACGTGCTTCCTGCTTCACCACTCCAGTCCAACACCTGCACCCCAGGCTCCTCCTCCTCTGCAGGTGTGGACTCAGTGCCCCCCCAATCCTTCTTCAGGACCATGAGAGGCTCACCCCTCACTCCGTTCAGTGTCCACTTGAATGTCACCATGCCTGAGAAGCCTTCCCCAACCACCCAATATCAAATAGCAGCCACCAACAGGCCTCCCCGCTTACCAATAGCCTGATTCTTTCCTCCTGACACTTAACCAACTCCTGACATGTTATTACAGCTTACTTAATTGTTAATTATCTTGTATACACACACACACACACACACACACACACACACACACACACGAACACGAACACAGGCTCCGGGTTGGTGAGGTCTGTCCCCCGCCCCTACCCAGGACAGTCGGTAGACAGTGCACATGACAGGTGCACAGTCCACTTTGCTCACCCTACCCTCCCATGGCCATCTCCCTGCGTGAGGCTCAGCCAGCACAGAGAGATGGAGGGCCAGGTGGTCTGTCTAAAGGAGGGTTCCCCAGCTGGGATGGGGGCCAACACTAGAGGCTCCAAGCTCTGGTGTCCAGCTGGAGACGACAGGAAGGAGGCTCCTTTTGAAACCAGCACAACTTCTAAGCAGAGGCAGGGGAAGTAGAGGAAGAGGCACACACCGAGGAGTTGGGAGGATTGGGAAGGGCTGGGAGGGGCTCCTCCAGGCTGAGACCAGAACCTGCCCAGACAACCACGGCCTGGAGCGGAGGACCTAAGGCGGCCAGAGCTTTTGGATCTGCTCAGCAGCCTCAACCCATCTCCTTCCACAGGAGGCCTGTTTAAAGGCACAGGCTCTGGAGCTAGGCGGACCTGGGCTTGAGGCCTAGTGGTATGGCTCCAAACATACCCTCCCTGAGCCTGGGAACCCACCGTGGGCTTCATTTCCTTAGGAAGAATTTTCATAAGGATTTGAGGCAGGCCTGGGTTATTGGTTTACCAGTGGTCACCCTCCTTGGTGAAGGCATCTGCCCTTCCCAGCCCTGTAGACGTCCGCAAGCTGGGGAGCCAGCCCCACAGCAGCTCCTGGGGCAAGTGTTGATGAAGTGCGGCCCCTCCACGTGCAACCTGGGACCCCACGTTGTGCCATGACTCAGCCCTCGGGGCTGCTCCCATGGGCTGTGTGCGGCACAAGGATGGATGGCCTGGCTGGCTGTGTGAATCACTGCGTCTTCCTGCCAGCCTGGCCCAGCTCCCTCCTTCCTGGTTTCCTGGATCCCAGCCTGCTTTAGGGCGCACACCTAACCCATACAGACCCCTCAAGCCCCTCCCGGCATGTGGTCTGGCAGGCGAACTGCAGAGGCCTGGTCTGTCTCCAGAGCCAGTGGTGGCATGGGAGGGGCCTTGATGTCCAAGGCCTGGGTCCCAGCAAGGCCCAGCCCCTGCCTGACTGTGTGACCTCTGGGCCTCCCCTCCAGGAGCATCAAATGGGAAGATGTGACAGCCCCCTTGGTACACTCTGAGGCATGTGGAAGAGGCCGGCGGAGCCCAGGTTGCTTCTCAGGGGCACTGGAGGGCATGATCAATAGATGGAATCCCAGTCCCCTCTCCTTGCTGGGCGAGGCCTTCACCTTCATAAGGAAACCTAAATTTTCTAATCTGTAAAATGGTGCATTTAACTCAGGAAATTAAGGATGAAACCTGATCAAACTTGTAAAGAATAGAACCTAACTGTTGGTCATCATTATCTTAAGATGAAGAAATGACAAACAGTCTTAAAAACACGTTAGGCTAGTTGGAAGGTCTGATCTTGTCTGAGTGTGCCTGGAGCCGTGCACGTGGCCCTTGGTCTGAGTTAGAGGCTCTCTGAGAATGTGCAGTCAGGGGGTGAGCTCCTCTTCCTCAGCTGCCACCCCCACACCTGGTCCTGGACCAGGCGGTGCCGTCCTTCCACTGTGGCCCTCGAGGTGCCCTGGCCGGGACTGGCTCTGATGGGGATGGCTGTGCCCAGCACTTGGTCCACAGGCCCCTGTGTGTTGCCGTCCCCAGCTACCTGGACAGCCTGGATCGGATCGGGGCAGCCGACTACCAGCCCACCGAGCAAGACATCCTCCGAACCAGGGTCAAAACCACCGGCATCGTAGAAACCCACTTCACGTTCAAGAACCTCCACTTCAGGTGAGGCAGGGAGGCTCCTGAGCCCTGTGGGTGTCTAGGAGATGGGTGTCACCAGCCCCTCGGCCTCAGCTCGTCAGGATATCGCCCTGCCTCAGGGGGCTTCCAAGAGAAGGGAACTGTCTGTGTGCCTCTCTTCCACCAAGTTCAGGGGCTGAGGTGAGCAAGGAGACTTCCTGGAAGAGGGGTCCTGGAGTGGGGCTCTGAGAAACAGGGAGGATTTAAGTGGACAAAAGAGAGGAGTCTTGTCCCTAGGTGGCTTCTGAGAAGGAGGAAGGGGAGGGTGGACCACCCAGGTGGCCCCTTGAAGGCCGCCTTGTAGGAGGGGTGGGGAATGAGGATAGGTGAACCCAATCACCATGTGTGTGACCCCAAGGACCCACATCATCTCAGTGCTGGAAGGGGCTTGGAGACCAGCTGACGCACTCTCTCCAGGTACCTATGGGGAAACCAAGGCCTGAAAGGAGCAAAGCTGTCCCCAGGCGTACAACATAACTCCAGCCCAGGGACTGAGCACCTCAGAACAGGGTCTGAGGCATGAGGTTGGACTTCTCAGGCCCTGCTGGAGGATTGTACCGCCACCTGGGGTCACCTTCATGCACTGAGGCAGTGATGGCCACCCTGCCCTGGGGATGGCTGTGGTCAGTCTGTCTGCACCTGGAGCCTCGCAGCATGTGTGCGGCCCCTCCTCCCCTCACCTGCCTGGACCCCACTGCCCACCACTCCCAGCTTCCCTGTGTCCCTGGCAGGCTGTTCGACGTCGGGGGCCAACGATCTGAACGCAAAAAGTGGATCCACTGCTTCGAGGACGTCACGGCCATCATCTTCTGCGTCGCGCTCAGCGGCTATGACCAGGTGCTCCACGAAGACGAGACCACGGTGAGTGGCCCTGGGCCCGCCCAGCATGAAGGGCACCGACAGGACTGGCCACCCTCGGCTGCAGTGGCCCACAGCAGCTCTGGGGCAGGGCCCCGCGGTGGCTGGGGTTCTGTCGTTGGGCGGGCCATGCCTGCTCCCTCTTCTGACTTTGTTGCCCAGCAAACGCCTGGTGATGCAGGCGCAGCACAGGCAGCCACAGGCCGTCCTGCTCAGAGGCCATGTGCGGACCGATCACGGACATCTCTGCAGGCTCTGGGTCTCGGGCACTAAGTGCCTCTTCAGTAAACACAGCAGAATCACAGAGGTCGTCAGGCCAGAACTAAATTAAGCAAATCCTAAAAGAAATCAGGGTGCAGTTGAACAAAATTGTAAGACAGAAATAGCGGTTCTTGGCTCTGATAGCCCTCCCTGAGCAGTGGACAGACAGGCTGCTGCCAGGTATGGTGGACAGAGCTGGCAGCGGGAAGGGCAGTGGGAGGTGGCCTGCTGGGGACTGACAGCCGGGCCACGGTTCCCTCCTCTGGAGAACGCCAGCCTAGGTTCTGCCTTCTGTCGATGCATCTGCAGTCTGGGGCCTTGGAGAACTGCCAGGCTGGTTTTCGGGGGTGCCTTCACCTGGGGAGGGCACTGCCTTTATCTAGGCCTGGTCCTAGTTTGCTGCCGAATTCAGGCAGCGCTCTCTGCTGCAGTTACTGGTATCTGTCAAAGGGGTGTAAGGGTAGTACCTGCCTGGTGGGCGTCGGCAGTAGAGAGAATTTGCAAGAAATACCTGTAACCGTTTCTGGCGCAGTAGCGCTGAGCTGGTGGTTGAATTGTCATGGGGATTTATTGTCCTGGGCTGGGAGACCCGCTGAGCAGCCCCTGTGTGGGCTGCAGCCCACAGAGCAGCGGGCCTTCTGCAGAGCCTGCAGGGGAAGCCGGTGTTGGCCTGGTGCACCTGCAGGATCTCCACAGACAGGCACCTGCTGGAGTCGGGCTGGTGGGCTGGGGGTCACACCCTGGGCAGTCGGTAGTTCCTTCAGTCTGAAGCGTGCGCAGACCTGTGACCCCGAGGCTGGGCTCGTCGTGGTGAGCCTTGAGCAAGGTCTGCCTTCTCACTGAATCTGTCTCCCCGTCAGTCCTGGCCCGCTGGTCCCACAGGGCTGCTGTGGAGATCTGAGGGGCTTTAGGATGTGGGCTGAAGGGTGCAGTGCTGACAGGAGGAGGAGCCGCCGTCCTGAGGGACTTAACGCAGCAATGGGGCTTTGGGCAAATTGGGGCCAGAGCTGCTGGCTGGGTGGGTGACGCAGACTTGCATCATGTGCCGGCCTTTCCCCCGCGCCCTTCCTCCTTCAGGCCCAGCTGCACCCCTGAGACGGGCATCAGCAAAGCCCCTCAGGTTCTGCCTTACTCCAGGGGAGGCTCTGGGGCCCCAGCTATGCAGCTCTTTCTGGTAACACAGTCACGATTCTCAGTGGCCTCGGTGGGTCACCAGACCCAGACCCACTGACCACCCCAAAGCCCAAGTGGGCTCCTGCTCCCCCACGAGGCACCCGCGCACAGGGACTCCCTGGCACGTTTCTCACTGTTCTGTTGTTGACTCTGTGCTTTTGGCTTTTGGACCCACTGTTCGTGATCCGCTTGGCCACCCCCGTGGTCTGAGCTCCACTGGGCTCATCTTCTCCCCCGACAGCGCCCAGGAGGGGGAAGAAGGGATGGTGCAGTGAGTGCAGCCGTGCGTTTCAAAGAAAGCAAAGGGCCCTCCTCCCTGAACAGGCCTCTCCTCGGGAACCTGTCCAGCTCAACCCCAAATCACAGGCCCATCGGCCCCGGGGCAGGAGCTCGCACTGGCCTCTGGAGCACAACGCAGAAGCGGAGGGACATCTAGGCGGGTCTAGCAGCCACGGGGCCCCAAGCTCCATGGCCCTTGGGTCTCCAGTGCACGCGGCGTGGTGCCGGGCCTCACACTCAAACGGCCTTCCTGGGCTGCCCGCCTGGCCAGCCCTCACTCCTCACCAGGGCCCATCCTGGGGCACTTCCCTCCAGGTTCCTCTGCCTTTTTTCTCGCCTTCCTGCCTTCTCTGTTTCTCTCCCTCACCTCCCTCCTTCTCCCCTGTTTCCCTGCCCTACGTCACAAGGGCTGGAGCAGAGGACCTTGGGGAAGCAAAGGCACGTGGAGCCACGGCCAGGAACAGGCTCTTCCGGGGGCCCTCTCCACCCAGGAAGGAGCAATAAGCCCCTCCGGGACACAGGAACTGGCTTTGCACAAAAGCAGCTCATTGCCATGGTGACAGCAAGAACAGCATCGTTGACGTAGAACTGAGCAAACATCTGTATGTCCAGGGACAGGCAGTGGCGTTGGGCAGCTGGGAAGTCTGGTGGCTGTGGCCTAGGGCCTGCTGTGTGAGTGTGACAGCTGCTCCACTGGCTCCTCCATAAAGTGGGGCTCACAATGGAACCGCCTCGTGGGCAGCAGTGAGGACCCCGGGCTCGGGGCTGTGAGAGCGCGCGCCCTTGGGACAGTTCACTCAGGAGGTGGCAGCTGTGGGGCAGTGCTGACCAGGCACACGGCTTCAGGACGAGTTGTGGGACCCGGACACTCTGTCCCTGGAAGGCAAGAGCTACACCCTGGTGACCAGGCCTTGGTCCTCAGCCTTCCTCTCTGGTCAGCCCTGCACCTCCCTCCAAGGCCTGGGGCAAGGATTGGGGCGGCCCAAGGAAAAAGTGTC